GCCCCGTGGTGCAGAGGGGATGTGGTGGTTGCTTCTTGGTCAGACCTCTCTGGTTCCCTCCATCCCTACCCTCGTGCTTGTCCGAGTTTTTCTCTGCAGTTAACATGCTGGGGTGACAGGTGGGTTTTGGGGGCTGGTGGTACTCCCCCCAGGCCAAGCCTTCCAGGAGCCCGTAGTCCTCCTTGATTCCGAGCCCCCGCGTCTGCCGTCCTCCACCCCTGCCTGTGGAGGAGGAGCTCCAGCTGCCCCTCCCGCCCTCACGCTCCCTCTGCTGTCTGAGCAGCCTCCCTCCCCCCTGGCCTGGAGCCGCAGCCCACACTTGAGGGCTCATGTCCCCCGTCTGTCACCACTTGCTGGGCACTAGGGACAAGGGGGCTGGGAACGGGCAGCCAGTCGTCCTGGCGGGTGCTCATGGGGATGTCCTCTGGGGCACAGGTCTGACCTTCTCACTCCTCAGCGCTCTGGTTCGTGGCTTCTGCTTTTCCACACATCAGAGGCCACCTTTGCATGCGATTGTGGGGACACGGTGGCACTGCCACCCACCCTCCCCTGGTGCCTGCACCTCCCTGTGGCCACCTGGGCACTTCTGGCTCCACAGCCTCCTGGTCCCCCAGCTTCAGGGCAGCCCAGGCTCCGTCCACGTGACAAGGACACCTGTGTCCTCCCTGGGTGTGCCTCCTGTCCCCGCGTGGAGGGGCTGCGCTCATGGGCAGGACCGTGTCCCTGCTGCCTCCTCAGGCGACCAAGGCTGGATGCAGGCTTTGGGGCAGCTGCCTGGCGAGGTTCCCTGTGCCTCGAGCTGGGCCGGACCAGCCCGTGAGCCTTGGGCCATCCTCCCTGGTGGACAGCACCGCTCAGCCTGGGGCTGGGCTGGGCCATCTGTGTCCTTGATGGCACGTGCTCCCTGGCTGCGGCTGGGAGCTCCCGGATCTGGTGGCTGCTGGGAAGAGGCTGCTTGGTGGGATGTGCTGTGAGCGGCTTGGGGCCGTGCTGTGGGGTCCAAGGGCCCAGGGACAGGTCGTAGAGGAGGTATCTGAAGGGGGGCCCAGGGTTCCTGCCTCCTCTGACCCTTCCTACTGCCCCTGCCAGAGCACCTGGGAGAACCCTACAGGTTGGCCCTGGCGTGGACCCTGCTGTCCGGGGGCTCCTGGGGGGCTCGGTGGAACCCAGTCCTGCATGTGGCCCCTTTGGTCCACAAGACCCCATGCTGGGCACCGGCGTGGGCCTGGGCCAGGCCTGAGCCTTCTTTCTGCTGTGCCCCCAGTGCCCAGCCCCAGAGCCAGGGTCACCACGCTGTCCAACCCCATGGCGGCCTCGGCCTCCAGACGGACCGCGCCCCGAGGTACCGTACCATCCACTCAGGCTGTCCCCACACCTGGCACAGATGCCCCGTGTGACTGAGTCGTCGTGGCACTAACGTCCCCCCACGCCTGCCACTAACGCCCCACACAACAGACGGGCATAACCCGCCCTCCCACAGCCCTGGGCACTAACCTGGCACCCAGTCCTGCCCCTGCCCCGGCACTGACGCAGGCTCAGCCCCTCAGGGTCCTGCTGGCCTCCCCGCCTCCCCGGGAGCTCAGCCCCAGGTAAGTGGTGCCCGGCCCAGCTCGGGGGCTGACCTGGTCTCTCCGTGCAGGTAAATGGGGCAGCGTTCGGGCCAGCGGGCGCAGTGGTGGGCTCGGTGGTGATGTGGGCTCCCGGCTCGCAGGCAGAGACATGCGGGGGCCCCCCCAGGCGAACGGGGCTCCCCCAGACTCGGGCTTTCCGCGGCCCCAGCGTGCAGCCCTCTACATCATTGGGGACAAGGCCCAGTTCAAGGTGACTGGTCGGGGCGTGGGGCCGGGTGGGGCCTGGAGCCGGGCAGGTCTCACCGTGTGCCCTCCTCCAGGGCGTGCGACCAGACCCCCTGCAGCAGTGGGCGCTGGTGCCCATCGAGATGTTTGAGGCCCGGCAGGTGAAGACCAGCTTCAAGAAGCTGCTGAAGGCATGTGTCCCGGGCTGTCAGGACTTCGAGTCCGGCCCCACCTTCCTGCGCTCGCTGGAGGATTCGGAGTGGCTCACCCAGGTCTGCACTGCCCCTGCCCCCACTGTGGCCGAGGGCCATCTGGGGGTGAGGGGATGGGGAGGGGCTGTCGGGCTCCCCCAGGTGCTGGGCCCTTCACTCACTGCTGCCAAGGGCAGAGGAGGTCTTGGCTCACTTATCCAGCAGGATTGGGCCCTGGGAGGGCGTGATGGCCACTTCCCACCCCGGTCAGGGCCACTGCTGTCCTTGGCGGGGTGCTGTGCATCCCAAGGACGGGCCCCCTCTCCAGTGCTGGGGGCTGGGGAGGGCGGGAGGCAGCAGGGGTCGGCTGTTCGTCGCTGTGCCTACCTTGCCGGCTACCCTGGTGCATTGCCCACCTGGCTGCCCTCCTGGGGACGTGTGGGTCCCGGGCTGGTCGGGGCTGGTCTGAGGCTGCTGGTCCCTGCAGATCCACAAGCTGCTGCATGTGTCGGTGATGGTGGTGGAGCTCCTGGACTCGGGCTCCTCCGTGCTGGTGAGCCTGGAGGACGGCTGGGACATCACCACGCAGGTGGTGTCCCTGGTGCAGCTGCTCTCGGACCCCTTCTACCGCACCCTGGAGGGCTTCCGCCTGCTGGTGGAGAAGGAGTGGCTGTCCTTTGGCCATCGCTTCAGCCACCGGGGGGCCCACACCCTGGGCCGGGCAGAGCAGCGGCTTCACGCCCGTCTTCCTGCAGTTCCTGGACTGTGTGCACCAGGTGAGTGGGTGGCTGTGGTGGAAGGCTGAGCCCCCGGGTCCTGGTCCCTGGCTCCTGACCCCTAACCTCTGACCCTGCACAGGTCCACCTGCAATTCCCCATGGAGTTCGAGTTCAGTCCCTTCTACCTCAAGTTTCTTGGCTACCACCACGTGTCCCGCCGCTTCCGGACCTTCCTGCTGGACTCGGACTATGAGCGCATTGAGCTAGGTAGGGGCAGGAGGTGGTCGGGGCAGGGTGGGTGGGGCTGGCTGGTAGGGCTCAGTGCTGCCCCCTGCAGGGCTGCTGTACGAGGAGAAGGGGGAGCGCAAGGGCCCGCAGGCCTGCAGGTCTGTGTGGGAGTATGTGGACCGGCTGAGCAAGAGGACGCCCGTGTTCTACAACTACATGTACGCGCCCGAGGACACGGAGGTGAGCTGGGCAGGGCCTGGTTGAGCCAGTGGCCTTCTCCTGGCCCAGCTCCTCATGCCACGCCTGCCCCCAGGTCCTGCGGCCCTACAGCAACGTGTCCAACCTGAAGGTGTGGGACTTCTACACCGAGGAAACGCTGGCCCAGGGCCCCCCCTATGACTGGGAGCTGGCCCAGGTGTCCCCGGAGCCCCCGGAGGAGGAGCGGCCCGACGGGGGTGCTCCCCAGAGCCGGCGCCGCGTGGTGTGGCCCTGCTACGACAGCCGTCCCCGGGCCCAGCCCGACGCCATCTCACGCCTGCTGGAGGTACGCGCGGGCCCCACCCACCGCGTGCCCTGACATGGGTGTGCGTGTGTGTGCGTGTCCAGTGGCCCTGCCCTTCACCGGCCTGCACGCTGCCTGCCCGCCTGCCGGGGCCTGCCCTGCCATGGATGCAGGCAGTGGTGCTCTGGGCCTGTGCACGCTCCCTGCCGCCAGGGTGTTGGCCCTGAGGAAAGGCAAGGTTCTCCCAGGCCCTGGTGCGCCAGCTCCCACCCCTCTTCTAGTTCACCTGCCTCAGGTCCCCTTCCAAGAAGCGTGCCCATGGGCCTGGGAGTGTGGGGTTGACGCCGGGCCTCCCCTCCTTGGAGGTCATGTCTGCTCTGCCTCAGGCATCGGGATCTATTGGGGCCAAGGCCCTGGGGCAGGGAAGAGCCCTGTGAGCTCGGGGTGGGGGGGGGGGGCTGGGTGGCAGGGACGCCCAGCAGCCAGAATTCTCCACGGTGGCCAGGCAGTCAGGAAGGCTGGACTGAGTGGCTGTGGGGGAATATCTCAGCATCTTGGAGCTTCTGTTTCCTTGGGGAGAGTGGAGGTGCTAATTCCTGCGTCTCAGGGAGGTGGTCGTGCAAACCAGCAGGAATAGGTTTCTGCAGGGCCACGCTGGGCCTGGCCTGAGGGCACCTGCCACCAGGGGCTGGGGGAGCACAGGGCCATGGGTTTGTGGGTGAAGGTGACCCACAAGCACAGGGAACACGAATAGACTTGGGGTCTGGAGTGAACTGTGCACTAACTTCCTTACAAACAACCCCCGTGTGGCACGTTCTCGTCTATACTTTGACTTCGACTGCATGTGTCTTTATATTTGAGTTTCTTTTACTCAGAATGTGGTTGGGTCTCATCTATTCTGACGGTTCCTTTTATTGGAATTTTTACTCTGTTTACATTTAATTGTTGATGTGGTTTGGTTGAAGTCTAGCATTTTGTTATTTTCTACTTCATTTTTTTTGTCCCTTTCCTAACAATTAGTTGTTAGTATTCCGTGTTATCTACTTCTCAGGCTTTTGAGCTATACCTCTTTGTGTTACTTTTAGTGGTTGTGAGGGACCCCAGTAGTCAGTCCTCCCTTATCCATCCATGGTTTCAGTTACCTGTAATCAACTATGATCCAAAAATAACAAATGAAAGATTCCAGAAACAGTTCATCCATGTTAAATTGCGCATTATCCTGAGTCGCGAGATCCTGCACCCGCTGTCCTGCCCAGAACCCTCCCTCCCTGCCCCCCCAGACGCTCCTTCCTGTTAGCCACGGTCACGGCGGGGCGGCGTCACCTGGGTTGTCAGCTTGACTCGCAGTATTGCAGTGCTCGGTTGAAGTCACCCTTGTTTTACTAAATAACAGCCCAAACCCATTCACATAACTTACTACAACGTATAAGTCAACTTGATTACTATTGCTGGTAATCTCTTAGGATGCCTAATTTCTAAGTTAAAGTTTATCGCAGGTATGAATGTACAGGAGAAAACATAGTATAGATGGTAGGTTGGTACTGTTCACGGTTTCAGACATCCCGTGGGGGTCTTGGCACGTGTCCCTGCGGATAAGGGGCGGACTGAACAATCTTGTCTTGAATTCTCTGTGCCACCTGACACAGACCCCGTCAGCACGCTCCTCAGCACCCGTCTGTCTGTCATGTTGTCATCCTGCAGTTTACTTTCACCTGTGTTACAGATACACAGGAGGAATGGTGTTTCCATAGTCAACTTGGTTTTAAAGAGATGAGGAAATGAAAAAGCCTTCTGTAATCGCCGTTCTCAGTATTCTTTACTCTTTTATTGTAGATCTGATCTAGTATTATTTCCCTTTGGCCTGTTTCTTGTAGTGCAGGTCTCCTCAGCTTCTGTTCACCTGAAAGTGTCTGCATTGTGCCTGTATTTATTAAAGGGTGTTTTCGTTGTGTATAGAATTCTAGATTGACAGCTTTTTATACTCAGTCGTTTAAAAATATGATTCCAGATGTTTTCTGGCTTGTAGTGTTTCTGATTAAAAGTTGGTCTCATTCTTATGGTTGTAAACTGCATAAAGTACCCTTTTTTTTTCTCTTCCAACCTTTAGGATTTTTCTCATCATCTTTGGTTTCAACAATTTGACCATCACATGGTTTTTCTGTGTTCATTCTGCTTGGAGCTCTTTAAGCATCATAAATTTATGGGATGATAGTTTTCATCAAGTTTAATACATTTTAGGCTATTATTTCTTTTAAAAGTTTTTTTTTCACAATCTCTCCCTTCTTTCCTCTGGGACTTTATTTTCCCATAGGTCATTGAGGCTGTTTTTCCCTCCTGTCTTTCCTCTCTGCAATGCATTTTGGAGGATTTCTATTACCTTGTCTTCAAGTTTATTTCTCTCATGTTTATGTGCTCTTAAGTCTATCTAATTAATTTTTCATTTTAGATATTTTTCAGCTCTAGAATTTTTTTTCATAGTTATAGTCTCTGCAGAGTCCCCATTTGTTCAACCATTATGTCCATCTTTTTCTTAAAATCTTGTGTGGTAATTGAGTACCAATTTCATTTGGGGGCTGTTTCTTTTAACCTTTCCACTAAGTATGGGTCTCATTTTCCTGCATTTTTGTTGTCTAATCATGTTTTATAAGCTGGACACTGTGGGTTCCGTATTGTTGAGCGTTAGGAATGTGTTGTCTTCCTTGAACGTGTCTTGAGTTTTATTTTTCCAGGCAGCTCATGGGCTTGTGTGTCGGCTGGTCTTCTCTGGGTTGTTTCTAAGCTTTGTTAGGGCAGCTCGAGAGACACCTTCCCTCTGGTTCAGAGGGGCCCTGCTCCACAGGCGTGGCCCCTCCTGGGTTTCTGCTGACGCTGCGTGTGCTCGCAAAGAGCCCGGCTCTGGGTGTCTGGCATTCCTTCATCTCCCCGCAGCGTGTCCCCTCCAGGCGTGGATTTAGCTCACAGCTCCTTAGTAGCTGCTCAGGCCTAGTGACATCTTGCCTGTCATATGGCAGTTTTTGGCCACTCAGGAGGCCTCAGTGTGGGTTTCTGTGCCATCCCTCCTCTCCATCGCCGCCCTGCGGACCCACACACGTCGGCCTCCCCAGCCTCCTGGCGGCTGCCTCCGCAACTCGGCACCTCGGTGCTTGGCTCGGGCTCTGCCTCCCGATTGTGGTCGTGGCGTCACCGTCTCAGGGCCTCTGGCCGCACTGGTCCAGCCCATGGTTGTCTACGGCGGCTAGTCAGGAGCTGATCACTGTTGTGACCAGAGGTGGACGGGGGCACTTTAGCCGGCAGTTCCGTTGTTGCGTTCTGAAGAGCGCGTGCCTCTTTTCTGGTAGGGATTGGGTTTCCCTTTGTACTTGAGCCGTTTTCCTGCCGTAGCCTGTTTGGGTTTGCAGTGCCCTCGTTATGTTGTGATGCCTCCTACTTGTTTGGTCACACTTCCAGCTGTTGTCTCTAAATACTGATTTTGCACCTCCCCCACCCTGTCTTCTCCTTTTGTCCTGTTAATACACGTTAGCCCTTTTCCTACTGTCTCACTTTCCTGTATTTTCTTCCTTTTGCTGTTTCACGTCCCAGGCTGGGTACTTCTGAATAACGCTAGCTCCCTGATTCTCCCCAGGAGCTGCAGCGGCTGGAGACCGAGCTGGGCCGGCCCCCTGAGCGGTGGAAGGACAACTGGGATCGGGTGAAGGCTGCCCAGCGCCTCGAAGGCCGGCCAGACGGACGTGTGAGCGGGGGTGGCTGTGGGGGGCTGGGTGGGCTTGCTGCCAAGAGGTGGTGGAGGCCTCCTGGCACTGACACAGGCCCATCTCCTGCCCCCAGGGCACCCCCAGTTCTCTGCTGGTGTCCAGTGTGCCCCACCACCGCCGCTCGCTGGGTGTGTACCTGCAAGAGGGGCCTGTGGGCTCCACCCTGAGCCTCAGCCTGGACAGTGACCAGAGCAGTGGCTCAACCACATCCGGCTCCCGCCAGGCCGCCCGCCGCAGCACCAGCACCCTGTACAGCCAGTTCCAGACGGCTGAGAGTGAGAACAGGTGCGAGGCACCGCCCACTGGGCTGTGGGCACCTCTGGGCTGGGGGCCTCTCAGATCACGGAGCAGGTGCCCTTGGGGAACTTCTGGTCATTCTCGGGGGGGGGGGAAGGACTTGTGGGGGGACCCGACAGTGGCTTGAGCTTCAGCTCAGTTGCTGGGGACACAATAGTGGCTTGGAAGGGGTTTGGGATGTAGAACCAGTGACCATAGCCCAGCCAAGGTGGCTGCAGAGCAGAGGGACAGGGCTGTGGGTACGGTGAGGGCAGGCAGGGTGCCAGGTGAGGTTGAAGTACGTTCCCGGTGAGGCCAGGGCCTGGCGGCTGCATCGCCCTCTGGGCCTGGGGAGCTGCTGGATGTTCCTCCCCGTCCACTACGGCTGCCGTGTGTGCAGGGCGGCTTCACAGACACCCGAGGCTCTGATGTGGGGGGCCCTTCTCTGCTTTTCTGGGGCTCCCTGGTCAGTGCTCAGCCTTGCTTCATTTGGGGACAGGGGCGCTGGTCTTGCTGCTAGGACCAGCCAGGAGGGGAGGGGACAGCTGGGCCTGGCTGGGCGTTGATGGCCCTGGTTCCACTACCAATGCAGGTCCTACGAGGGCACCCTCTACAAGAAGGGGGCCTTCATGAAGCCCTGGAAGGCCCGCTGGTTCGTGCTGGACAAGACTAAGCACCAGGTGAGTGGTCAGTAGGCACAGGGTAGGCAGGGGCTAGGACCGGCCCTGACTTCCTGTCCCCCTCAGCTGCGCTACTACGACCACCGCGTGGATACAGAGTGCAAGGGGGTCATCGACCTGGCGGAGGTGGAGGCCGTGGTGCCTGGCACTCCCACCATGGGCGCCCCCAAGACCGTGGACGAGAAGGCCTTCTTCGATGTGAGCTGTGACCAGGGTGCAGGAGAAGGCGGGCGGGCGGGCAGGCAGGGGGCTCCGTGGGGTGGGCCGAGGACTCAGCTACCCACCCTCCCCAGGTGAAGACGACTCGTCGTGTTTACAACTTCTGTGCCCAGGACGTGCCGTCGGCCCAGCAGTGGGTGGACCAGATCCAGAGCTGCCTGTCAGACGCCTGAGCCCAGCCCTGCCCGGCTGCGCTGTGTCCAGTCACAGACCACTAGGGGTGGGCAGGGCCCCCCGGCCATGTTTACAGCCCCCACCCTTGACAGTATTGAGGCCCAGCCCCCGAATTTGTGTGTATAGCCCCTGCCAACCCCATCCTGCCCACCCTGCCCGCCTGGTCAGCTCTGACTTATTTTGGAGTCCTGGCTGAGCGTTGGCGGGAGGCGCCATGGTACAGCCCTCTCGGTGGGCCTGTAAATAGCCCAGCCCTGTCCGCGTGGTGGCCCCGGCGGCCCGCAGGCACCCTGTTCCTACAAACAGAGTCTATAAAGAGAACTAACTATGTGCCACACGCCTGCGTCTCCTCAGCTTCCCAGAGGAAAGGACCCAGGTCGGCCGCGTGGGGGTCGAGCCCTCTGCCAGGTTGTCCACAGCCCTGGGGCAGCTCCCTCAGGGCCCTGCTCTGGCCTGGCCTCGGCTGGTGGGGTTGCACAGCCTGAGGACCTCCCTGGTGCTGTGAAGAGGCAGTGGTTTCCGTAAGGGGAGGTGGAGTCGGTCATTTGCGTGGCTCTCGGGAGGCTGCCCAGAGGGCAGACTGGGCGGAGGGGCTGGAGGATGGGGTCACGGAGACATGGTGGTCGCTGGTCAGATGGAAGGAGGTGCTAGGAGGGTGGGCTGGGAGCGAGGGTGCCTGAGGATGTGGGGAAGAGGGGTCATACGTGGCACGGGCATGGCCCTGAGGCAGGCGTGGTGGCTGTCACTGATGGCCTTGGTTCTGGGAATCGGTTCCACATGCCTGTCCACCCCCCAGCACGTCTTGGGAGTAATGGGCTCCTTTCCCATTCAGACATGAGTCCCACCAGCCCCGGCCTCACCTGTGGGGTGGGCAGCAGGTGGGGTGTGGGGGATGGGTGTCAGAGCTGAGAGAACATTGCCGTGGTCTGGGGGTGGCCACTGGTTCCTGGTCAGAGGGGCTGGTGGTGTGAGGGCCTAGCTAGGGGTGGCATCTGTCAAGTAGAAAAACAGAGGTGGCCCTGGCTGGTGTGGCTCAGTGGATGGAGCATCGGTCTGTGGACTCAAGGGTCCCGGGTTCGATTCTGGTCAAGGGCATATGCCCAGGTTGCAGGCTTGATCCCCAGTAGGGGGTGTGCAGGAGGCAGCCAATCAATGATTCCCTCTCATCATTGATGTTTCTCTCCCTCCCTCTCTGAAATCAATAACAATATATTTAAAAAAACACACACAGAGGTGGACACAGGTGCAGGTGGGACCTCTGCCAGCACAGGGGGTAGAAGATGGGGCCCTCAGGTCCTCCCTAGGCCACTGCTGCCGGCTGTGGGACCGTTTCCAATACCCAGGAAACCTACAGGCTTGGGGTCCTGTGCCTGAATGTCATGTGGGGCCATGGGGCTTGTTCCCTGGGGTCAGGGCAAGGTCAGGACAGCACCAGGCCTTCCTGGGAGACCCTCCTCCCGGCCAGTAGCCAGGCACAGACCCTGGGGGGAGTCACTGCCCTTCAGCTGCCCCTCCCGCCTGGCCAGGGAGGATGGGGTTGCCCTCGTGTTTGAGGTGTTGGAGTCGTGAGCTCCGGGCAGAGGAAAAGCTCAATGTGTTTTGCTCCTTGTTGCTCAGGTGTTGAACCTGCAGCTGTGGCGGGGTGGGCCTGGGGCAGCAGACACCCCTCCCTCCCCACTGGCCAGGATGGGCTCCAGGGTGTGCAGCTTCACAAGACGCGGTTGTCAGTAAGAATAACACAACTTTATTGGGAGTTGGGGTTTGGGTGCCCTGTCAGAGATCATCAGAACATTAAAAATGGACTCAGCATCACACACTCTGCAGGCCTTCCAGGACGATGGCACTGCTCCAGCGGGTGCAGACTCCACCCACCCAGCACTGCTGGGGCCAGTCTCCGCCCCTGCCCCCTCCTGCATGCCCATGGCCAGCTCTTGCCAGGTGCCCAAATGCACCGGAGTGCCAGGGCTGGGATACCCCTGCCGGGCTGTGAGGGTCTCGATATTTTTAAGGCAGTCAAATGTTGCATCCTGGCTTAGAGGCCAGCTCCCAGGGCCCCTGGGCAGCTAAGACCTGTGTGGCCAGCCCAGCTCTGGACATGCATCTGTCCCGAGTCAGGGAGACCCTTCACTGCAGCCAGATACAAAGTGCAAACACGGCTCTCTCTGCGTTTGTTTAAAAATCGGTAAAAACAGGCTGGCAGCCTGTGGCGTCCGCGCCCATCACGCCTCAGTCCTTGTGGCACCAGGGTTGTGGCCTGGCTCTGGCAGGCAGAGCGCACTCTGAAGCCTTATTGCTGTGCATGGGGTCAGGCAGGAGCGACGCGAGCTGGGCCGTCCGACTGGGTCCAACTGCCAGCTTTACCAATGCAGCATTTATTTTAAAATTAAATTAAATTAAAAAAGACAAATTGCATCACCAGGTAGGTATCGATTAAGGGCGCGCCCTGGCTGGGTGGCAGCATCACACGGGGCCATTGGAGGCGGCTCCTGCTGGCGGGGCAGCTGTCTTCCTGCAGGAAGAGGAGTGGGTCTTGGAACCTAAGGGCCCAAGGATCCCTGTCCAGTCCCCTCCCCCTGGCCCAGCCTGCTCACCTGTCCTTTGTCACGGTCCCCAGAATGGCCACTGTGGAGACAGCTGGGCTGGCTGTGGCGGTGGTGGTGACGGCCACCATGGGCCCTGGGGGCACTGCCACAGCCAGCACCCCTGCGGGGGCTGGGGCAGGACTGGCCTTGCTCAGAGCTGTGGAGGCTGCCTCGGGGGGGACAGCCCCAGCCAGTGTGGAGGTGGCTTCTGCAGGTGCAGAGGTGGGACCTGGTAGCGTGCTGGCAACCTGTGGGCAGATCTGGGCTCAGTGACCTGGGCTGCCCCAAGTTCCCAACATGC